GCTTTTATTATGCCACAGTCGAGCGCTTCCGCTGCTTCCGGTCTTGCGTGTGTGAGGTAAAGCAGCGGAGCTTTTATAATGCCACAGTCGAGTGTTTCCGCTGCTTCCGGTCGTGCGTATGTGGGGTAAAGCAGCAGAGCTTTTAATATGCCACAGTCGAGCGCTTCCGCTGCTTCCGGTCGTGCGTATGTGGAGTAAAGCAGCGGCGCTTTTATTATGCCACAGTCGAGCGCTTCCGCTGCTTCCGGTCGTGCGTATGTGGGGTAAAGCAGCGGAGCTTTTATTATGCCACAGTCGAGCGCTTCCGCTGCTTCCGGTCGTGCGTATGTGGGGTAAAGCAGCGCTGTTTTATCATACTAGATACGTTTAGTTCTGTTATAATGCTACTCTGTGCGCTTGTCACTGGTCTAATAAAACGCACAACATATTAAAGCGTCTTTGGTGTTTCCATGTTTTCTACAAAACAAAACCAGAATCAAACACTAAATTCTAAATTAAATAAAGATAAAGCTTAAAACTACAGTAGTTATTGATTTCCTCTTTTTAATTTTGTTTTTTGATTAACAGACATCACAGCAGCTGGTTATTAGGTTATTTTGGCTGCTAGTTTAAAAACGGCCACTGCTGAACTTGATGCGGATCTGACACTGCTGTAAATGTGACTCATAAATAATAAATACTTGCATGCAGTTTTAAGGTAGCTTTAATCGCCATCTTTTGTAACTTCATTGACTTATCTTACGACATAATTACAACAATGCATACTTGTAGTTACATTTGGGTTTGAATATGATACATCGCTTTAATATAGCCTAAAGCCTGTGTTAATACTTTCCGTGTGAGCAATCCGGATGCGTACACGGACAGCGCGGACGTGGACTACTTGTATTTATACTTCCGAAAGCATCCGCTGATGGTCCGCTCCGCCGATGTGTTCCATACATGCGCAGTAGATCAGCTTGAACAGTAAACAAACGTGAACAAACAATTGCCCAGAGTTACCGCACATCTGACTGTCTTTATATTGTTTGTTCACATGTTTGTTTACTGTTCAAGCTGATCTACTGCACATGTATGGAACACTTTATATTGTTTTATCGACGGATTGTACAGGTTCGAGTAGCCACGGGCTTCTTCACACAGCCTGCGCATGCGCAGTAGCCTACTGACCACGCGGTCACAAAAAATGGGAGGCACGCGGATGTCCGCGCAGAGCCTCCGCGCACACTCTCTGATGACGATTTTTACGTCACGCATACCATAGCGGACCTTAGCAGACTCGCGCACGCGGAAAGTGTAACACAGACTTAATACAGCATGCGCCGGCACATTTATGCTACGAGTACATTATAACGGCTGGCAGGACAGGGAGATTAGTTTTACTGACATATGGCGGCCTTATAGGCAAGTAATAATATTTTGTAACTGATACGGAACTTAATAGGTAGCCAGTGCAGAGACTGTAAAATTGGGGTAATATGATCATATGACAGCATCTCATCTGACCGCAGTTCACTGATGTTCTACTGAAGCTCCTCGTCACCCGTACCGTTTCTGTGCTCGTTTGACTCGCGCCTGGCGCTGAAGTGAAGTTGGAGCTCAGCGCGCATCTGAAAAGTGTCCCATTTGATGTAACTTACTCGTAAAGACGTTCTGCGAAACGCAATCCTTTAGCAGTTGTGAGTGGGGTGGCCAAACCTAGCCCCGCCCCTGCGTTAAATATTTTGACTGAAAAAATTAATCGCCTGTGCTAACGTGCTAATTTTGACACCGCTAATGTATATATATATTTATTATACACATGGGCTAAATAACAGCACAAATATTTTGACTGTCCCTTATATTGGGCTGCTTATACTTTGTCCCCACCAATGTCAAAATCAGTTTGGTGAGTTTATAATGTAATACATTTCTCATAATGTAATAATTGTTATTACATTATGAGCTCAATATTTTATTACGTTTTGAGAATGATTACATTATGAACATTTTATTACAATAAAAATAATAATTATTATTATTGTAATAATAACTGCACATAATGTATTAATACATTATGTGCAGTTATTACATTATGAGTTGCAACAGGGACTCAAAAACGCTTTTTTGCATTTAGATTCTTTTACTACGTACACAATTATTTTAAGTATATGTCCATTATATTATTTACAATACACATAGTTGTTCATAGTGATATTTTTAGGGGGGACGACCCTCAGATAGGGCGGTTCCTGGTGTTTGTTTTTTGTGTAGACGTCTACTATTTACACATCTTAACTCATTTATTAATTATTTGTTAAAGGGGTCATATGACGCGATTTCAAGTTTTCCTTTCCCTTTGGAGAGTTACAAGCTCTTGGTGCATAAAGAAGATCTGTAAAGTTGCAAAGACTAAAGTCTCAAATCCAAAGAGATATTCTTTATAAAAGTTAAGAGTCAGCCACGCCTACCTAAAACGGCTCGTTCTTACACGCCCCCACATGTCTACATCACGATGTGGGAAGATTTGCATAACGCCGCCCAAATGTTCACGCAAAGAAAGAAGACGTAACTTTTATTCTCGCTGTAGTATTGTTGCTGCTGCCGCCATGTCGTGAAGGCGCTGTGTGTTTTGTTGTGAAAGTGAAACTACTTTGTTTGGGCTTCCAAAAGAGGACGATATCCGCTTCGTCATGCCTGGAGCTGATCCGTGCTGATCGCTGAGGGAATACTTCAACTTAGTGCTGTGGATCACCGGCACATAATATGGAGGACTGTTTACTGATCCTGGGAAAGTAATGTTAGACTAAAATGCCGGCAGTTCTGACTCACGTAAATACTTTTTATTTTATCATTTGCCACTGATGATTCAAAACGTGAGTTTTGGGCAGTGTAGAAGAGTGCTTGTTGTTTGTCATTTCTCGGATCACAAATGCAGACAGGGTTTTATGTTTACGCGGCGCGATGCAACGCAACGTGTAAAAAGACAGTATAAGTCATTATAATCCGTAATTATGTCCCCACTGGATGCAACAAATGCCTCGTTTGTAATGGGTTTTAATGTTTTTGTCTCATCGTGCCGAGACACGGCATCACAGTATGTGAGGGGCATAACATTTCCGTCTCACACTTGAGGTATTCGGCCAATCACAACGCTCTGGATAGCTGGCCAATCACAGCACACCTCGCTTTTCAGACCGATGAGCTTTGTAAAAATCGACGCGTTTCAGAAAGGCGGGGCATAGAGGAGAAACAATAATGTACAGTATGTGGAAAATAATGTGTTTTTTTTTACCTTAACCCGCATAAACACATTTCATTACACCAAATACACAAAATAATGTTCTTTTTAGCAGCATCATATGACCCCTTTAATGTTTTTGCAGTGCCCAATCTAAAGTGGAAACTATTCATCATTTGTATCTGTTTATAAACATTTACTAATCATTAGTACCTTTATAAGCAGTCATTTTGATGGCAGAAATTACCGGAATTCACATGTTTACAAATCATTTATTAATAATTTGTTCATGATTTTGCAGTACCCAATCTAAAGTACTGCAAAGGTAATAAACCTGAGTATGTGATACGTGTCCTTTGCAACAACATGGGTTTTAATGACAGCATCTAATATGTTTCTTAAACGTTTGTGTTCCCAATATAAACATGAATTTAACATTATTTGGCATGTTTTAAACTCTATGTCACAAATCATAATGCATTTCAAAGCAGTTGTATGAAAAGAAGACTTCATTAAGAACTAATGGTCAATCCAGTGGCCACAGTGGACAGAGGAAGTATTTTGGAATATTTTTAGGTTTTTGAAGCCCTGTTTACACCTGGGGCCTGTACCACGATGGTGGCTGAACAAACTCGGGATTACAGGATTAGTTTAGAGTTGACAAAGCAGTCCAATCCAGCTTTGTTGGTACCATGATGCTGATCATCAACTTTCTCTGTCAGCTCAAGCTTGATCCCGAGCTAATGGAGCACGTGCACATGAAAGAGTGACATCAGTAATGAACAGCCAATCACATGCCTTGAAACTGTGATTCACTTCTCGCGAGAGAGTCACTACCAAAGATTAAAAGATTGAAGATTGTTTTTAGGTATAAAAACACTTAAGAATCTAAGCTCATATGTAGTCATGTTTAAAGCTATTGTTTCTAAAACGTTTTTTAAACGTTTTTATATTGCAAATTATCTATCTATATATATATATATATATAAATATCCAGAGCAGGTTAGCTGTGGAGCGTAAGTTACTAAGGCAATGAATGCCGCTAAAAGCCAAGCCACTTTCATGGTACCTAAAACCCAGGATTGGTGCAAACTAAACCGAAACTTAAACTCAAACCAAAATAGCCTTTTATTTGTACAGTATCCTTTTTCATCCATTAGCTATTGAATGCCAAAGGTTGTTAACCATCACAAATGTTTGAAATATTTCAGAGATTGTCGATGACAACTCTATATTGAGAGCAGATTTCATTCAGGAGCTTCTTCCATCTGCTGAGCGAACGGCTCTCCTTTATCACCTGACTTTCCTGAGTCTGGGAGAATTCCCAAAGATGGAGCGTCTGATCAGAGATCAAGCTATTGAAACACAACTGCTGTTCGGATCCTCTGAAGCCCTTCTGGTGAAGGTATGAGGCCTAATTCATCACAACCATCAATGTCATCCATCAGCCCTCTGATTTAAATGTTTATTCAAAAAGAGTTTTTCCCTCTTTAACACTTGGATTATGTGGATGCTGTGATTAACTTTCAAAAGGTGCTCTCTGTCACTGTCTTTAATCATTTCTGTGCACGACTGTATGGTAGGCCTAGTTAATGCCACATGCACTGTAATATGTTTTATACTGAAAGTTACATTTTCTAATGAAAATGGCAGCACGATCGTTTTATAAAGTATGCATTCATATGTGTAAGGGCTAACGTTCCATTTCCGCTGGAGGAAACAGCTGTGGTGTGATGAGGGGTGAACGCAGCGAAAGCTTTACAGTAGATGGGGAACCGATTGCTCCCCCAAGACCTGGACAATATTTGGACTCAAACTTGACACAACGAGCTAGAACAGGAAGAGAAAACTAGAAAATAAGAAATTACCACAATTAGCGTCACATAACTTCAGAAGTTACTATACTGTTATGATTCGCTGATGTTTTTAACTGTATACGGTTGTGTAGTCACTGTGAATTGTCACATGATTAACTTGGTGATTGATTTTGTCTCGTAGTGCGTCGGCACGAGTTCCAACCTGGTCACCACCCTGTTTCCAATATTGAAAAAAGCTGTGGAGAAGAACAAATCTGTTTTGGCAGTGAGGTACCTGATGAAAGCCAAAGTGTGGATCACTGACATCGTAGCACAAGTGGATGACATAGTGAAGAGGTGAATATATTAGTAATATCTTATAGTCAACTTAATTCAAAGGGGAAACGCATGGGTGATTTTATAATTGCAGGTAAATTTGATGTCTTGTTTGTACAGATGGTGATTATTTTTAAGTATTCAAATAATTTGCTATTCAGGGTCGTGGATCACAAGATGTTTTGGGTCATAACAATAATATATTTTTTGTAAAAAGTGTCAATGTATATAGGTATAGATCATATAGAAATTATATGTGTAAAGTTACTGTTTGAGCATGAAAAAAGAACAGAAGGGAGGTCTTCTCTACATTAGCAGATTCATTTAGAAACCAAACACTGCTGTATTGATCAGAGATGCACAACAGTTCCTGTAGAACTGTTTTAGACCCTACTCTGAAGTAGGAGGTAATTTAGTTCCTCCAAACCAAACGGAATTCCTAGAACTAAAACTGTTCCTAGTTCCTGCGGTGCGAACTCGCCAAAAACTGGGAACTTCCACCAATAGTTCTAGGAACTATGAAAAGGTTCCTCCAGTGTGAACTGTTGTACAGAATTACATTTGTGCAGAATAATGCATCCTCTTTAAGAAAATTGTTCAGTGTCTTGTCTTGTGATGAAATTCGGACCACATCGCTGTATTCCATTATTTATTTGAAATGCACTGTATTATTCAGGTATGATCAACACAACAAAAGTGTGAAAACATGCACCAGTGACGTGTATCAAGAACAAACAGAGACCAAAGAAAAAAAAGCGAAAAAATCTGATGAGATGAAGGGTCTGGAGGATGCTCTGGCCAAGCTTGAAGTGGATCTGAAAAGAGTAGTCGACAATATGGAGATGAATGAGAAACAAATTCAAACCACAACTGACGAGCTGAACAGCTTCATCAGAAGATTTCAGGAAGAACATGGCCACTGGACTGTGAGGTTCCTTGACTTTTTTAGAGGCTATCCAGATGCTATGAAGGAGCCTAGTGCCATCGCTCTGGATATAAAACTGAAACAACTCGACTCTGAGAAGAGCCTTCTGCGAAATGAGGAATGGAACATCAAAATCAAGCTGACTGATCTTCAGCTGCAGCTGGCCAATTGTAAAATACGAATGGGTGAGAGTCTCTCTATGATGTTATTGTTACAAACATACAGTAAATTAATCTGCATGCATGTTATGCTCTTGACATGTTCTTCACAATGATCTCTCATAAATCATTCCAGGTGAGATTCCCGACCCTGACAACCTGACGGAAGTCCAGCTGTGTCTTTCTCAAATCCAACAAATTCTGGTTGATCTGAAAAAGTTTTGGGAGAAGGTGGATGCTATTCTGTGCACGCTGAAAGATCAAACCTTTGCTGGGGAGGAAATGGTTGACATGGAGGACATGAAGGATGAGTTTCTAAACTGCATTGAAGATGCAGCAAAGGTAAGTTAGACACTGAGCAAATGTTCCTGATGTAATTTGATTATGCCTTTCATGAACTCTCAGAGTTCTCACTTTCATTTCCTATGTTGTTTTTTGTTTATCCATAATATACTCTGATTAATAGTGTACAGCTGATGCTATATTTTCCAGAATCCAAAGCAAAGAGTTTTGTAATCTCAAGCAAGATGCTAGTGTCTAATCGTTGAAAGTTATTACCATCTTAACTAGAATCAGATGAGGATGCCGTGTGACAGGAGAAAAAAGATAATAAATAAATGCACAGTTGTGCATAGCATGTTTGTTATTCTAGACAAATCTAAAAACTAAGTTTTTTAACAAGGAGCCCTTAAAGTACCGGCTGGTTCAGGTCAGAAATGACAGAGGAGACAAACAGTATTGTAACTTTTATGATTTTATTTAATTTAGATGTTAATTTATCTTCTTTGCCAATAATTTGCATATGCAAATTAGCATATTTATATAACCTCAAGACTGAAATCTACACTTTAGGAACTGTAGGAAATTGTCATGTACTGGGTCAGATTAAAACCATCTGGTGACAAAATCAAGTCAGATCAAGTTACGTTGTGGCAGTAATGCCCAGTATATGGCTATAATGTCCTTTTTAGGCACCTGTTTTGTGTTACTTCTACGTTTTATCACAAGTTATGCACTTTAACATTCATTTAGACTTTACGCTTTATTTTGACTAGTAGCCTAGTAAAAATATAGCTTTATTCTGGAAATCATATTCTGCAGTAATGCCACTTTATGCCTAAGGCCCATTATCCCACAAAGATTCTGCTACATAAAATCTACAGACATTTATCAGTTAAAAAAAAAAACATATTGGGAGAGATTGCTGAAATATGATGTGAGAAAAAAAATAACATGACTTCAAAAAGGTGACAACAATGCCCTGTAGATGAGTTCTGTGCAATCACCTGTTATGTGTTGAATCTAGATATCATCACATTTAATACATTCAGAATTGATTCAATTATTACATTATTTCTGTAACATACTCAAAATTTCAAAAATGTATACATTAAGATGTTTCATTGTTCGTGTGTGTTTTCAATAGCATTTAATGTAAAATGTGTCTGTTGTTGCACTTCAATAATATACAGGTGCATCTCAATAAATTAGAATGTCGTGGAAAAGTTCATTTATTTCAGTAATTCAACTCAAATTGTGAAACTCGTGTATTAAATAAATTCAATGCACACAGACTGAAGTAGTTTAAGTCTTTGGTTCTTTTAATTGTGATGATTTTGGCTCACATTTAACAAAAACCCACCAATTCACTATCTCAACAAATTAGAATACTTCATAAGACCAATAAAAAAAAAATTTTTAGTGAATTGTTGGCCTTCTGGAAAGTATGTTCATTTACTGTACATGTACTCAATACTTGGTAGGGGCTCCTTTTGCTTTAATTACTGCCTCAATTCGGCGTGGCATGGAGGTGATCAGTTTGTGGCACTGCTGAGGTGGTATGGAAGCCCAGGTTTCTTTGACAGTGGCCTTCAGCTCATCTGCATTTTTTGGTCTCTTGTTTCTCATTTTCCTCTTGACAATACCCCATAGAGTCTCTATGGGGTTCAGGTCTGGTGAGTTTGCTGGCCAGTCAAGCACACCAACACCATGGTCATTTAACCAACTTTTGGTGCTTTTGGCAGTGTGGGCAGGTGCCAAATCCTGCTGGAAAATGAAATCAGCATCTTCAAAAAGCTTGTCAGCAGAAGGAAGCATGAAGTACTCCAAAATTTCCTGGTAGATGGCTGCGTTGACTGTGGACTTCAGAAAACACAGTTTCTGTGCCTCTCCACTCTTCATCCAGACTCTGGGACCTTGATTTCCAAATGAAATGCAAAATTTATTTTCATCTGAAAAGAGGACTTTGGTCCACTGTGTTTTCTGAAGTCCACAGTCAACGCAGCCATCTACCAGGACATTTTAGAGCGCTTCATGCTTCCTTCTGCTGACCAGCTTTATGAAGATGCTGATTTCATTTTCCAGCAGGATTTGGCACCTGCCCACACTGCCAAAAGCACCAAAAGTTGGTTAAATGACCATGGTGTTGGTGTGCTTGACTGGCCAGCAAACTCACCAGACCTGAACACCACAGAGAATCTATGGGGTATTGTCAAGAGGAAAATGAGAAACAAGAGACCAAAAAATGCAGATGAGCTGAAGGCCACTGTCAAAGAAACCTGGGCTTCCACACCACCTCAGCAGTGCCACAAACTGATCACCTCTATGCCACGCTGAATTGAGGCAGTAATTAAAGCAAAAGGAGCCCCTACCAAGTATTGAGTACATGTACAGTAAATGAACATACTTTCCAGAAGGCCAACAATTCACTAAAAATGTTTTTTTTTATTGGTCTTATGAAGTATTCTAATTTGTTGAGATAGTGAATTGGTGGGTTTTTGTTAAATGTGAGCCAAAATCATCACAATTAAAAGAACCAAAGACTTAAACTACTTCAGTCTGTGTGCACTGAATTTATTTAATACACGAGTTTCACAATTTGAGTTGAATTACAATTTGAGTTGAATTACTGAAATAAATGAACTTTTCCACGACATTCTAATTTATTGAGATGCACCTGTATATACGGATACAATGATGTCTCATATTTAGCCAATGAGGACGTTCGACTGTCATCGACCAATCAGGGTTCCTCGTTGTTGTTTATACATGCAAACATAATGTGAAGTACAGTTTAAAGGTTTCCTTTATATTATTGTGATTGCCTTATCTTTCTTTATGTCGATTGCGTGTAATAAATAATTTGTATTACTCTAAGATAAATGTTCTGGGATTTATTAAGGTTTTACAGGCTAACTGTACATTTTGGAGGCACCGGCATAGATATTTCTACTGCTTTTGAGTTATTTAGTAATAGAAACATAGGTGCATTTCCAGCCTCATTCTCAATCTATCAGCTGTGGGACTTCAGGCTCCTGTGCGCCAACTGAATAAACAAATACCAACAGGAGGGGTTATTTTCCATCAAAAAAGGCATTCACATTGCTTCATAAAACTGGGGTTAACTCTTTGGAGACACATGGATGACTTTAATGATATCTTTAGAACCATTCTTGGCTTTGAAAGTTGTAGTTGCATAGGCTGAGTTTACATTGAACTAACCCTTTAAAATCATCATGAAAAAATTTAGGATTTTTTTTTT